GAAATATATGAGATGTATTCACTCTATTTTGTTTAAGGCGATGAAGGACTGGTCGTCGAATTTTCCCAAATTTCGCATAGCCTTGCTTCCCAAACGGTAGTAGACTGCAGCTCCTACCTTGCCTATGTCTTATCAACACCCCCAGCGGGACTCGGATCATGACAGAACAGTTATATACATGTGCTATAACAATCGACTACACTACTTATATTTCGTTTATAAATAGTGTCTCAAGACTACCAGTAAATCGAAACACCACTTTTATACGAGAAATAAGTAAGTAAGTCGAGTGTCATAGCAAATATAACTTTGCTTCATCGACAATCGCTCCAAAGAATGTGATACTGGAAAATGATTTTCGTGAAATCCCCATCTCCCCTATGACCCAATAGCAGTCGGGGCAACGTGGTGTAGCGGTTAACGTGTCGAGATTACATGCTGCTCTGGCATTGTTCGAGTCTCGCCGGGGACGTTGAAAAGACGTAGGCGAGCTGGCAAATGCAGTCAAGTCCATTCGGGAAAAAAATGCCTTTTTGGAAGCAAGGATGTGTGAAATTCAATGGAAGCGTACGGTCTTCTCACATAATTGTGTGAAAATTCAACAACCCTTAAACCAAATAGGTTGAATGCATCTCCGAGAGAAACTCGTTGAATTACATTTGCTTTCTTCTCCGCCGCCTTCACTTTTTTTTTGCATTATTCTCTTCTTTTCTGTCAGTCGACCTTCTGCTTTGGTTGCTGCTTCGAAAGCGAGCTCGCCGACCAACCGGCACATCTTAGCGACAAGATCAAGTTCCAATTCGTTTCACAGGCTGCTCGGAGCCAACGCGTTTCCGCGATTAGGCCTATAGCCCATTTTTGGGTACCAGCGGAAGATCGACGTCAAGGGTAGATGGTAGCATCGCCTTATGGCAGACACACGGCTCCTGCTGCCCTGGCAACTGAGATCCAGACCGTCTGCAGCCAGTGGAATACAGCCAATTGAAGATGTACTCCATTTTTGACAAAACTAATCAACGAAGACATGATTTTGCTTAAGTTCATTGAGTGTCGCATAAACAGCACATTCGCAACAAACAGAAGCAGACAGAGCAGAGGTAAAGTGTCAGGCAACTTGTATTTCTATGCCAAGAGAGTGTCTTCACTTTGCATTGTAATAAGAAACATATTCAGTAAAAGTCAACCTTAACGTTGATTATATAAAGTGAAGTAGGCCTTATAGTGTCAAAGTGGGTTGACCTCGTTGTCGCAACTTGGTCTTGTTGTCAAGGCGACTATGCAGAACGCACCTAATCCGAGGTCGTCTGCCAGAGTAGTTGTCATGATTCCCAGCTTCTGACAGCGGACTTAAAGTGTTGCTTTGACCTCGTTCACGCAACTCACTCACACTTGTCACTTTGCTCATTTGTAACTATTCGGTGCTTACGATTGAGCCTCTCACTGACGATGCTGGCGAGACGTTAGGGAATGTACCAATTCAATGGTCTATAGCTGGACATCACGAATACCATGGCAGAGGACACGGGACTAGGTACGTTCCACAATGTTGCCATGACGCTCCGAGCAAATTGCGAAAACGAGCTCGAACCAACAGGATGGAGGTAAAGGAGACTGCGATCAAACATAAGGTCACACCATCCACGCCGTAGACCTTGTTGAGAGG